AGCTGGCATGGTGCACATACCCAACAGTGGTGAGATGCAGGAGCAAAGACAGGATGCTCCTGTACCTGGTCTAGTTGTGGGAAAGTTCCAGTGAGAGACCTATGTCAACCAAAAGGTGGAAGACACCTGAGGACCAGCACCCAAGACTGTCGTCTGACGTCCATAGATGCACAACTACATCCACACAAGAATGCACAGACTGTACTTGTCATCCATATATGCACAACTACATCCGCACAAGAATACATAGAGTCATGGTTGGGGTTTGTTTTTGTTGGTTTGGTGAGTAGTGGTGGCGTTTGCTTTGTTTGAGGTAAGATCGAGCCAGCTGGGCCCCAGACTTGTCATTTTCTTGCCTCTACCTCCACTGAAACTTTTAAGTATGGACCTTCCTGTCCAGCAAGAGTCCCAATAGCAGCATTTGACATCTGATGTTGGTCAACCAGTCTATTGTCTGTCTGTCTGTGTGCCTGCCTATCATACAGACTTCTTGTTTATAAAGCTCTTGCTATATGCATCAGATTGTTCTGATCTTCTCATCACAACGCTGAAATCATTGTCATCTGTATCTATTTTTTATTAGCTGAGGCACAGCTAGTGAGTCCAAACTCTGGCATGTGATGTCTGAGAGGCACACGGCACTGCTGCTTCCACAATCACAGTGTCGTGCTAGAGAGACGCTATTTCAAAGGTTCAAAGTAGAGTCAGCATGTACATACATTTAATTGTATGTTGAGTTAATTTCCTCTTTAAAATGTCATTAACATATATTAGTTATACATATGTGTTTTATTATCATATTTTCATATATGTACATAATGTATTTTGATCATTCAGCTCACCTCCCTTACCTTTTTCTCTTCTCAGCTGGTTCCCCTGTTTGTTTTACTTTTTTATTTTTATTTTGTGTGATTCAATTAGAAAATGGTTTACAGGAACATGACCACCTTGTTACCAAAGGCTACACCATTGGGTAGAAACCACCTCCACCTCTCCATCAACTTAAAACCTCAGGAAGGGGTAGGGCCCCATGAGCCCCTCCCTCAAATTAATTCTTAAACTAGTCTCCATCTCCATCTGTGTTACAGCCTCCTGTTTCTTGCTTAACTTTTGGTTTTTCGAGACAGGGTTTCTCTGTATTGCTTTGGAACCAGTCCTGAAACTAGCTCTTAAAGACCAGACTGGCCTCGAACTTGCAGAGATCTGCCTGCCTCTCCCGAGTGCTGGGATTAAAGGCGTGCACCACCACCGCCAGGCTAGCTTTTTGCTTTTCTGATGTGAACTTTTTTGTTGCCCCTGCTTGACTAGACCAAGTAGCTTAGAATAAGGTGTCTAGAAAGAGATTTTAAAGTGAGTCTTTTCTCGCAAATAAAATTCACTGTGTAATACAAACTTCATCTAGAAACTGAGACTCACACTTTCTCATGGGATTCATGCTTTCCTGAGAGTAGCTGAGGAGCGCTGAGGGTCAAACTAATAGGAATAGTTTATACTGCCTGGAGTTCCATCTTTATGTGTTGGCAATTATTTAGTTTGAAGCCTAAAATATTTATGAACATTTGGTTGACACATAAATGATAATGGGATTTTTTACATCATTTCTCTCTGCTGACATGGGTAATAAATTTATATGTTGTGCTTTCTTGGTTGGGGATTTTTTTTTCTTTCTAGTGTGTATCATTTGTTTCAAGATTTTTGACATAGTGTATATAATTGCCTTATGTTATCATTGTTTTTAAACCATGTATAGTTATAGGTAAATGTTTTGTTTGTTTCCCATTTGTCTTTAGCTAAAAAATTGGAGGCTGCTGCCCAGCTGAAAGAACTGGTATCAGATTTATCTTCTCAGTTTGTTGTTTCCCCTCCTGCTTTGAGAACCAGGAGGAAAAATGTGTCCAGCACATCCAAGCTTATAGATGAACTGGTAAGAAATGTTTGACTATATATTTAAACATCCTCTGTGCATATTTATTATTTTTCTGTTTTGTTTTGTTTATTTGAGATTGACACTATACCTCAGGATTGTTTTGAAGTCGTGATCTTGCCTCAGGTTCCTGAGTGTTGAGAGTGCAAAAATTTTAAGTGAATTTCTCATAAGTAAAATTTGTTGAAAAATAAATTTATTTAAGGATAACATGTGTGCCAGAGAGACGGCTCAGCAGTTAAGCACACTTAACTATTCTTGCAAGGGACTCAGGTACAGTTTTCAGCTCACAGCCTCTAGCTCCATCCAGTTCTAGAATCCAGTGCCTACATGTGTACCAGATATGGATGTGGTACACATGTAGGCAAAATACTCAAGACACATAAAATAAAAAAAAAATTATTATTTAAGAAAGGTTATTTGCGGCTGGTGGTGGTGTATGCCTTTAGTCCCAGCACTTGGGAGACAGAGGCAGGGGGATCTCTGTGAGTGTAAGGACAGCCATGGCTACACAGAAAAACTTGTCTCAAAAACAAAGAAGAAAGGTAATTTGCATTTATATTAAAAGTATGAAACTCCTGTTTCCTACCTTCAGGACGGATCTATGGTGTGTTCCAGACACCCAGTAGAGTGACAGTTTTAAAGTTAAAGTGAGTGCCTGGGACGGTGACACGCACCTGTAATCCCAAGGCTCAAGGCGGACCTCGGCAGCTCTCTTGAGTTCATCTCCAGCCCGCTCTACATACTAAGTCTTAGGCCAACCAGGGATGTGTAGTGAGACCGCCGCGAAATTATCTGGGTGTTTATATAAGATATATGTCGTTCAAAGAGTATCCTTAAAGAGAGAGTTTCAGAATTGAGTACACAGCTTTAAGATGGACATTTTTCATAGATTAAATGTCAGTTATTTTTACTTATGTCAGTTCCATAAGCATGAATTAGATTATATTCCATGAGCCAGTTACTATGCAACAAAAATAACTGATTAAAATGCAGTTTAATTGACAAAATGAGTAGTTAGTTTGTTGAATAAAGTTTCTCAGCCCAAATACCTCTGCGTGTATAGGGAGATGGAGGGGAGAGGCCTTTCTGGCAGAAAAAGCAACAACAGGCAGGGATTCAGAAGCATGGCCGGGTGGTGGCTACAGAGCAAGACATGTACAGGTTTCAGGTAGCTTCTGTACAAAACATTCTGGGAAGGAAGAAACCCGTCTCTGGTGACCCTGCACCTACAAGATGGTGAGAGCCTGGACTTAGAGCTAAAGCTATATTAGCTCAGGGAGGTGAACAGTGGGAGCATTCCACGTGAGGTTGTGACAAGTCTTGGGGAACTAGAGGGCTTTCTAGGACCTAGGGTTTTTAAAGATAGTTGATACTTTTTTTGGTTTGTTTGATTTTGGTTTTTTTTTTTTTTTCTTCTCTTTTTTTTCCCCCAGTAACGGTTTCTCTGTAGCCCCAACTGGCCGGAAACTTGCTCTGTAGAGCGGACTGACCTCAGACTCAGAGATTTGCCTACCTCCGCCTCCCTAGTGCTGTGGTTAAAAGTGTGGGCCAAGCAGGATACTTTTAAAATCAGACTTTAGGTGTTGCATGCTTTTAATCTCAGCACTCGGGGGAGGCAAGTGGATCTCTGGGTTTGAGGCCAGCCTGGTCTACAGAGTAAGTTCCAGGTCAGCCAGGGAAAGAGAAACTGACAGAGAAGCCCTGTCTTGGAAATTAAAAACAGAAAAATTTTAATTGCTTAGACAGTTTATATTTTCTAATTTTTAATCCATAGGAGAGTGACCCTAAACCATTAGAAATCATAGAACAGAAAGCAAAGAGAAGCAGGACCATGAAGACAAGAGCAAGCAGGTAAGCAGCTGTGCTCTGTGGCCTCTCCACTCATTGTCTAGGGGCTTCTCAGACATGCCTGGCACCAGTAGAGAGAGCCCAGTGCTGATGGGTGACCTAAAGATAGCCTGTTGTCCACTGGGTGTGATTGGGAGAGAAGATTGTTACCTTTTTATTAGTAAGGAATTAGAACTTTAAATATGATGCAGTTGACTAATGACCCTGCTCACATGTAAAACTGTGTTTGTTGACACACACTCACCAGCTGCTACTGTTTTTGAGTCCTGTCCCACCCCACCCCTTTTGTGGCACAGTGCTGTGCACCTAAAGCTGAGCCCCGAATTTCATTTCCATTTTCTCTGGACTGGGTCTTTAGAACATGTAGCCTTGGCTAGGCTGGAGCTTGCTGGGTAAAGCAGGCCAACCTCAGACTCAACAGCTGTCCTCCTACCTCTCTTACTGAGCACTGGAATTTCCTAAGTTCTCTGACCTGCTGGCTCTCCTTCCGTGAACTAACCATAGGACATAGCACAGCAGTATCTTACATGGACATGTATGAGTATGTCAGCACATGTCAGGAAGGGTTGTGGGGTTGACACCTTAACCTTGCCTGCCCTTAGCCCTCTCCTCTCTGCAGAGCACTACGCTGTGCCTGCTCCTACTTGACGGTTTCTCTCTTTCAGAAATACGGAAAAAGAAGGTTCTTGGTCACCTCCCCCTGTGGAAATCAAGCTGATATCTCCCTTGGCCAGCCCAGTTGATGAAATAAAGATCAGCAAACGAAGAAAAGCTACAGAAGTAGCAGGAAAAACTCTTGGAAGGGGCAAAAAGAAGCTGTCTTCCTTTCCAAAGCAAATTTTACGCAGGAAAATGCTGTAATTTTTAGCCCAAGATTTTAACATGCACCTGTTTGTGACGTCATCAGTATTTGTGTGGGTTATTAAAGGTCACCTAATTTGAAAGGAAATAATTTATATAAATTGTACAATTTGTAAACAAGTAAATAAGTAAAGTAGCTCCATATGGAGTATGGTTCTTCTAGTCCAGGCATTTTATAAAACTTGATACGTTTATATGATATGTAAATATGGCTTATTATTTGGGATGTTAAATAAACTACTGTAAAGTATACACTGTGTGTCTGTTAGATTTTTGAGAGGGAATTTCTGTCTTAGTCGTGATTTTATATGCTACTAGATATTTGTCCATTTTCTTTCTCTGTTGATACTAGACCCAGTCTTCAATGCGGGTGACTGACTGTTGGTTATTTTTTAAAGTTGCTCTTTTATAATTTATGCACTTTGAACCTGTTACTCAGATTTCTAATCGTCACATGTACTTTCCTGGGCTTTGCCTGGCACTGTGTTGAATTTGGTTTGTGGGCATGTGATTTTGCCTTTTTATACTTTTACAAATTTTGTGTAATCTACCTCAAAAGAGTAATTTTCCAGTAATGCATTGGTTAACTATAATGCTGGCATTTCTTGTTCAGTAACTTTAAAGACTATCCTGTCTCTCAATTTAGAGACTAGTTATCCAGGTTAGATTGACCGGTTCACTGCTTCTTAGCAACCTCATGAAAGGATTTGAGAAATAAATGTGAATACTCAGTCCACCTGGTGTGTGCCTGGCGTTGGGAAGAGGAGCCCGGACAGACTGTCGACACCCATACTGTGCAAGCTACGGAATCACAGAAGCCTCCTAGTATTCAGGTTTAAAACTGCAATCACCAAGGACCTCAGGCCCAGATCTGGAGAGTGGAAGAGTGTGAGTAGATGTGGAAGGAGAGACAGACGCCCTCTTCGGCTGTGTGAGTGTGCACAAGTTATGGCGCTCGATGGAGGCTATGAAATCCATCAATAAATAAGTGTTGTTGAATAATTGATGACAGGTAATTGATAGTGTAATGAATGGACCCTTAATAATTGATACCTAGAAACACTGCCTTTGTCAGCTAAGCTTTGGATGTTTTCGTGTGAAGTGTAGCAGTGTGCTTTGTATGTTATTTTTCTATCAAATAGCATTATGGATAATGAGGAAATGGGGACAACGCCTGTGCCGAGCGCAGACAGTGTGCGAGTGGCGGTGCGCGTGCGGCCTTTCAGCCAGGTCAGTCCATGTTCATTGCCTTGGTGACAATAACTGCCTGATTTTATTCATTTTTTAATAACAGTTCCTGAATTTGTATTTAAGCTGCTTGTCATTTATGAAATATTAAACTTATTTAAATGAATTTGTCAAATGAATAACAAAGATCTAAGCATAATTTAGTAAATAATTTCATTCCTTGGTACAAGTAGCACAATAAAAAAACTGACAAGAGAAATACTGTCAAGTTAATAATTATTTAACCCAATACAGTTTGGTACATAGAAATGTGTGGTATCTGCTTTTAATACATGTATGGGGGCAGAGATGTAGCTCAGTCGATAGAGTGTTCACCCACCATGTGTTGACCCTAGGGTGAATCTCCAGCACTCTGTCAAACTAGGCATGAAGAGGGAGAGGCAGCCGACTGGAAGCTGTCATCCTTGACTGTGTTGGGCATTCAAGACCTGCTTGGGCTACATGAAGCCCTGTCTCAAAAACACTCAAAAAAGTTTATCTGCTTTCATAAAAGTAGGTCTTGTCGTGTGGACACATGTGATTCCCACACAGCATACTGAGGTAGGAGAATCAAATTTATGACCTAAGTCATAATGAGACCATGCAGAGCCACAATGTTAATGGGTTTGTGTGCAAATCTATAGTTTTTTGTGGAGTCTGCTGCCCTTGAGATCTTTGTACATGAGGCCGCCCCTTCCCTTTGGCTGTGTCCTATCCTGCCTTAGCACCTGTAGGCACACTGTCCATTCCACACATCAGAAGCCTCTAGGCCTAAGCCCCTCTGCAGGAGTGGGGAATACTGCGGGAATGAGCTTGCCAGGTAGAGAACTGCGCTGTGCCCATTGTGACCACTGGAACCTGCTGTCCGCTTTCCAACTACCAGAAAATGCTGGTTCTAAAGGGAAGTATCCAGGGGGCTGGAGAGATGGCTCAGTGGTTAAGGGCACTGGCTGCTCTTGGAGAAGACTCGGCACCTACATGGGGACTAGCAACTATCCATAACTCCAGTTCCAGAACATTTGGTGCCCTCTTTTAACCTCCATGGGCACCAGGCATGCACATAATACTGGCAAAACACATATACAAATCTAGGAATTTTTAAAACAATAAAGGGTAAGTGTCTAGTTGATTTTCTGCTTCTTTCCAAAGCTGGGACCAAAACCTAGAGGTACTTTTTTGTCCCGTTCTTGCCTGAGAGCCCAGCTCATAAATCTGCAAATGTCAGCTAACTTGACTGACTGGCAAGGAGGCACTCAGTTACCTCCTGTGGCAGTGTGCCTTTTAAAATGCTTCCTATGGAGACCATCCCAGCCCCATGTGGCTCCTGTTTTCATTAGCTCCTACTGTGGACATAGACATCACATTACATGAGCAAGAAGAATCTTATGGGAGTTGTGTACACCCTGTACACCTTTGCCATACAGGAGATGAGAAGTGTGCACTTTATACACTACACATACATGCGCGCGCACACCCCATGTCAAGAATCAAAAGGGTTTTACCCACCAGTCATCCCTAAGAATGTCTCAGATATCTTGAGCTACCAATCATACCCTCATGGGTAGATGGGTGAGTGCATACTCTGTGTCCTCTGAAGGGTTCCCATCTTCACCGATTAGCATAGTGTCACCATAGCAGAGTCTGGTCCAGGCAATCTGGTGAGCGGCATATGTGGCTACTCTAGGACAGGACCTAGACTGTCCAGTTCTATGGATCCAATTATAAGGGGTGCTCAAAATGCTACCACCTGATGTCAGGGCGGTGTGCACAAGACCAAGAGAAGGCGCAGGTTTCTGTGTATAGTCGGGATGGGAGGTTGTCTGGCTGAGCTTCCTCAAGTCCCATCTGACTTTCTCACTAAGACTGGGCTACTGAAGAGAATGTGAGCAGGTCAAAATCCCATCCTCTGTTCGTTCAGCCTATCCACTCCCGCCAGGTTCATCGGACAGCTTATATTGCCAGTGTTTACTGTGAGCCTCCTCATGTTGTATTAAATGCTTTGGATAGGAAATGTCCCCCACAGGCCTGCATGTCAGAATGTTTGCTTCCCAGCCAGTGGCACTATTTCTGAAGATTGTGGAGCCTTTGGGACATAGGGCCTCGCTGGCCTTTGAGAGCTACTAAGATCTTCAGCTTGAGCTTGCTTAGAGTCCCATCATGGCTTCCTGATCAAACTGCTACAAACTCCTGCCCACCAGTCCCCGAGCTATCCCACCATCATGCCTAACCCACAGAGTGAGTGACCTGAAACAGCCCGAATAAGCCCTTTCCTCAAATTGTTTTGCTTAAGTACTTTGTCATGGGCATGAGAAAAGTAAGTACTACAGGGTCAGGAGGAGGTCAAGGGTCAATATTGCCTTTACAACCCGTTTTCCCTTTCCCAGATCTGTAGTATATTTCCTAATAGAATACCTACCTCCCAGAATGTTCTGAGGGACCAGGGATATTAGTACAAAATAGAATGGAGGTGTTCTCCTAATTCCCAGGCATAAAGCACTTGTTTGTCTTTGATGGTCTTACCCCGTCCACCAGTTACTTTATATGGCCCTGGAAAGCATCCTCAGTTGCCGTGAGCCTGTGTGCCCTCAGCACCTGTGTCTGCCAGAGCAGACACGCTCCTTGTCTTCATAGGCCGAGTGATAGTGAGTTCCTTGGGAGGTCCGTGTCACCCTCTAAAGCTTATTCTGAGATAAAATCTTGGCTCCACTTCTTATAATATGGAGTTGGGAGCCCATTCCTATGCCCTACAACAAGCTTCATCCTTTACGGGCAGCAGACGGGAAAGGTGAGAACTACGATTTGTACTTACGTCCCATCTGCTCAGCTACCAAGATTACACTGGGCTATCTTTTTCCTGGAGTCCAGGAATGGCACAAATCATACACCACCATTCCTGCTCTCTAGCCCAAGGGCTACCCATCCTCCCTTTTTTCCCTTTTCATTTTTGCCTGTTCTTTCTATTGTCAAGTTTTATGGCAAGTTGTGCCCAGTTTCTCAAAAGCCACCAATAATAACCTTGTCCATATCATAAACTGGGCTTTGTTACTTTTCTTATGGTGACAAAACACCAAGGCCAAGGCCACTTATAAAAGGTAGCCTTAAATTTGGGGTCTCCTGGGACTGGAGCAGTAGCTGAGAGACATACTCAGACAACAACCACAGGCGGAAGAGAGCCAACTGAAACCTCAAAGCTCATCCCGAGTGACACAGCTCCTAAGTCCAAGCAGGTCAACCAACTGGGGACCAAGCATTCAAACGTGAGCCTTCAGCGGTCATTCTCAATAAAAACCACATGAGCAGAGGCGGGGACAGGGTGGGGGCTCTCCATCCTCAGGAAGTAAATGGTAAGCTTGTTTTTCATTCTACTCAGAAATATGACTGTCTTGAGCTGGTGAGATGGCTCAGTGGGTAAACACTCTTGTGTACAAGCCTGATGTGTTTGACCCCCGGGACCCACAGTGGAAGGAGAGAAATAGTTCCCAAAGGTTGTTCTCTGATCTCCACATGCACTGTGGTGAGGGTGCATGCAAGCACACACTCGGGCATTCACATATGTGCATACGTCAGACGTGCTAATAATAAAATGGAATATAATAAAAATGGATTTTCCAAACTAAGAAAGGTGGTGGTGCATGCCTTTAATCCCAGCACTCGGGAGGTAGAGGCAGGTGGATCTCTGTGAGTTCAAGGCCAGCCTAGTCCACAGAGCTAGTTCCAGGACAGGCTCCAAAGCTACTCAGAGAAACCTTGTATTAAAAAAAAATAAAAAATAAATAAAAAAAAATCCCCAGGTCATTGAATCGCCCGAGCATAAGTGGTTTCTCCCATACATGCATAATTCCCAGAAAATACTCAAGACTCCCCTGAGCTACCTGCCCTAGCACGCCTCTCTGATGGCCGCAAAGATCAATTCTACTGTGGACCGAGTTCCTTGGATCTGGCAGGCAGTTTGGATGCTCTTCCTCGGGCCAGACGATGGGTGGTATTACTCCCACATCAGCTCAGTTTCTTCTCACAGAAATGCCGTTTCCATATCCCAGAGTATTCACCCAAGTAGGCAAGGTTCTCAGGAATGCTTGTTGAAAAGATTGTGTTAGCCAGGTAGTGGTGGTGCAAGCCTTTAATCCCAGCACTTAGGAGGCAGAGGCAGGTAGATCTCTGACCTGGTCAACAGAGTGAGTTCCAGGACAGCCAGGGCTCCACGGGAAAACCCTGTGATTTTGCTAGCTGTCTAGAAGTTCTGCATCAGTACCATCTTGAACAGTCCAGATTTCTGTCTCTATTGGCACATTCTACAGCTTTATGTCAGTAGTCACAGAAAAGCAAGAATCCACTCACAGTCCGTGTCCTTCAGTGTGTTGATGAGGTAGGGCTTTCCCCTTGATCCCATTCCCATCTTTACCTACTGCACAAAGCTGGTCACTGGGATTTTTTCCTTGATGTCCCAGCTGTCCATTTCCCTAGCATTATGCAGGCTGTAACTCTTCTGATTTTTTTTTTTCGGAGACAGGGTTTCTTTGTGTCATTTTGGAGCCTGTCCTGAAACTTGCTCTGTAGACCAGGCTGGCCTTGAACTCACTGAGATCCATCTACCTCTGCCTCCCTAGTGCTGGGATTAAGCACCACCACCACCCGGTGCTTCTCTGATTTCTGAGCTCTTTTGTCCACAGCCATCTGGATACTGGTGGCCATCCAGTCCACAGAAACAACCCCACTGCAGTAGCAAGACACTGCCCTTCCTTTTGACAGTGGTATAATTGACACTAAGCAAACAGCTGTTCCAAACCAGCAATGCCTTTGACACGTTTACCATACAGAGGACCCCTTCCCATACAGAAATATGCATCTTACTTGTGTGCCCTCTTGCTCAAGCTTCTTTTCTCTTGTCCAGTTCCTCAGTTTTCTGGTTGGCTTGCCAAGTTTTCCAGAAAAAAAATCCCAGCACATGAGAACCAGTCACGAGGTGCCATGAGACTGGGGTTACCAAGTGAGTCTTACCAGCAGAAGCATGGGGCTGCACAGGTCCTACAACTCTGGTCCGAGAACAAAGCTTTAAATCAGGCTTTCTCACTGTTCTGTTGCTGTGAAGGGACACCCTGGCCAAGGCAACTCATAAAAAAAGTGTGCAGGGCTGGACACGTGACTTCTTCCAGCAGGAGTGCACTATGATTCTGAATTTATAACCCAACTATAGAGAGAGAAGAGCTCCGGAAGCCAATGTGTGATTTCCATGCATTCCCAAAGCACCACCATCCGAGACCCTAAGAACGGAGAGCATCTGAGGACCTTCACCTTTGACCTGGCCTATTGGTCTCATGATGGCTTTCAAAAGGATGAAGATGGGGTCCTTATTCCATCTAATCCGACCAGTAAATTCGCAGGCCAGGTAAGTCACTTAGAAGCTTCAATGGTAGATTTTGTGGTTTGTGTTTTCCCTTATAATGCACTATGAACACTTCAATATTATCCCTGCCAGAGCAATGAGATGGCTTAGTTGGCAAAGCACTTGCTCCCGGAGCCTGCAGACCTGAGTTCAGATCCTTAGAAACCATGTGATTGCCAAGCCTTGCTCCTCAGTTTGTAGGGCTTTGGAGAGGAGAGACGGCGTAGCAGGAACTCTGAATAATAGCATGCCCTTGAAGGAAATGTGGGGACCCCTGCCCCTCCTCTCTCTCACTTTGCTTTCTAGCTTTGGGAGACAAGTCTCTGTCGTATGCTCCTGCCATGGTACATGCCACCACAGACCATAGCAATGGGGCCAGCTGAGCATGAACTGAAACCATGAGCCCAAACCAATCTTTCCTCCATAAATTGATTACCTTGGGTATTATAACAATGGAAAGCCAATTAACAAAGAAGTACAAAATGAAGACAAATCTTCTCTCTGGTCACAGAACGATGTGTTGGAAAGAAACTGGAAGACTCCAAGATGTCCCAGATTTCTCAGCATACAGATAATAGCCACACCACATCCCAGTGGAAGACTGCACCACTAAATGTTTATGAAATGTTTCTACTCTTTACCTAGTACTTAACAAAATGTTGTACTACTTGAAACTTTCAATTTATGAAAATTAAGGACAACGACTGGTGAGATGTCGCCTACACCGTGTCTGATGACCTGAACTCAATCCCTAGGACCAACATGATGGGAGGAGAGGACCAAGTCCCACAAGCTGTCCTCTGACCTCCACACACACACAAATACACAAAATAAATTAAAGAAATAGTTGTAGTTTTAAAAATTGCAACTAAGAACAACAACAAAAAAAACAACTCTAAGATTTCAATAGTGTCAGCAAGAAGGAAGTCCAGTTGCTAAACTTGGCAATCCCATCTGAGGTTTGCCCAGCAGCTGCTAAACCACCAGGCTGGACAGAAGGATGCTCAGTGGGTCGTGGCTCTGGCTGCTCTTGCCCAGCACCGCCGTTGAATGGTTTACAATCACCTGTGACTCCATCTCCAGGGCACTCAACAACCCACTCTGGCCTCCAAGGGTACCTGCATGCACACACACACACACACACACACACACACACACACACACACACATACACACACACACACACACACATACACACACATACACACACATATACACACACATACACACACACACACATACACACACATACACACACATACATACACACACATACACACACATACACACACACACACACCTTTAGAATAAGAGCTGCAGATACTTCATTAGACACGTGAGCAAAAGCATAGACACCGTGTTCTTGAAAACTACATCACGTTTCATTTCCTTTAGACCACACAGCCCTTTAGTACAACAATTTTGTATTCCTATTTTTGTTTTGTTTTTTGATACAATGTCTCTCTGTGAAGCCCTGGCTAGCATAGAAGTTGTTATATAGACCAGGTTGGCCTCAAACTCACAGAGATCCTCCTGTCTCTGCCTCCTGAGTGCTGGGATTAAAGGCATGCAGCTTTTTATTCCTTCCTATGAGAAACAAATACATTTTCTGTTGGTTTTCTGGGTTTTTTGGGGAGGGGAGGGAGGTGGGTTTTTTGTTTTTTGTTTTTTTTTTTTCAAGACAGAGTTTCTCTATGTAGCTCTGACTGTCCTGGAATTAACTCTGTGCACCAGGCTGGCCTCAAACTCAGAGATCTGCCTGCCTCCGCCTCCCAAGTCCTGGGATGAAAAGCTTACCCTGCCACCACCTGGCTAGAAACAAATAGTATTAAAATTAGTTATTTTAAATTTCTCCTTAGTAGATCATGCTAGGTTGGTGTGTATGCCTTTCTCAGAATTAACAACTGCATAAATTACATAAATGTACATATTGTGACAGATGGATTCCATGATTCTCCCTGTTTTATTCTTTGATCACTATTGCTGCAGTGGCCGTGACCAGAAAGAAAAGGAGCCAGGCTACACTGCCTTTTGAGCAATTGTGGTGCAAGCATCTTTTGATTCCACTTTTAAAAATGTTTCCTTTTTTTTTCTGCTTCTGCCTCCCAAGGCACTCTACCATCATTCCTGCTTCTCAAGGTTTGTTGCTACTGTTGCTGTTTTCATATATTCTTAGGGGCTGGAGAGGTGACTCCGTGGTTGAGAGCACTGACTGCTCCTCCACAGGACCTGGCTCAATCCCAGCAGTCACATGATGGCTCACGGTTGTCTGTAAACTCCAGTCTAGGAGATCTGATGCTCTCTTCTGATGTCCAAGGACACCAGGCACACATGGGGTACATAAACATACAATGATGAAAATAATAATAAAAATTTAAACAGATTTTATAATATATTTTTATTAATTCTTTTAAAATTTCATGCATGCACACACTGTATTTTTGTGGAATTCACCCCTTGCTCCTTCTAAACTCCTAGATCCTCCCGAACACTCTTCCACCCCTCCCAATTTTTGCCCCTTTCTCTCTCTCTCGCTCTCTCTTCTTTTGTCTTTTTTCTTCTTCCCTCCCTCCCTCCCTCCCTCCCTCCTTCTTTCCTTCGTTCCTTCCTTCCTTCCTTCCTTCCTTCCTTGTTTCCTTCCTTTCCTCCATCTCTCCCTCCCTCCCTCTTTCTTTTCTTTATCCACAGAGACCTGTGTTAGCTGTCCATCTATTCAGGAATATGGGACCATTGACTGGACCCTCTCAACTTACCAGGGGTCATACCCTTAAAGAAAATTGTCCCCCCAGAAGCCATTAACTGTCAGTATCTCCTCGGCTGGGAGTGAAGCTCATGAGCCCCTCCTCACGGTGCTGGACTGGCGACTGCTGGCCGTTGGGTGGGTCTTGTGAGTCCCGCCATGTCCTAAAGCATCATGGCTCGGGTCCTCCCTGACCTCTGGCTCTTACTGTCTCTGATCCTTTCTGCAGTGGGCACTGAGCACTGAGGGGAGGTTCGTTTTTTAAGGGTGTGTGCATGAGGCAACTTTCTGTTCGTATAAAAAACACCTGAGATGGCTCAGAGGTTAAGAGCACAGCTGCTGTTCTGGAGGTCCTGAGTTCAGTTCCCAGCAACCACAGGGTGGCTCACAGCCATCTGTAATGAGATCTGGTGCCCTGTTCTGCCCTGCAGGCATACATGGAGGCTGAACACTGCATACATAATAAATAAATAAATAGAGCCAAGGCCTACTTTGTTCATTTCGTAGGCTCTAGACCATTACACCCGTGGTGGTGAGTAACGCATTAGAGCAGGCAGTGCTGGGGGAGGCAAAGCTACAGATCTCACTGCAGGAAACAGAAAGAGGCCAGGGTGTTCCCACAGCCTCGGCGTGCTACTAACCTGTGGCGTGCTACTAACCTGGGGGGGGCTAAACCTTTGACACATGGACCTCTGGGCGGCAACCTGGATACAAACTGCAGTTCTGTGAAGGGGTCTGTGGTGTGTGACTGTTTGCACACGTTCATATGTGTGTTGAAGAAATACTTTAGAGCCACCGTGCCTGGTGACAGTTACAATTTCCTTTCTAGCTCCATGTCTTCCATGATATTGGAAGGGGAATTCTAGACAGTGCCTGGCGAGGCTACAATGCTACCCTCCTGGCCTATGGCCAGACCGGCTCTGGAAAAAGCTACTCCATGATTGGCTTCGGCGCAAACAAGGGTATTATTCCAAGAGTGTGTGAAGAGCTCTTCCAAGCTATTAAGATGCAAAAGAAAAACCTAGAACTCCAGGTATGTATCCATTGTTCCAGAATCCTTTCTCTTGGAAACTGCACCTTTTCATTTTCCACAAGTGGAAGGCACCAGCATCTGTATTTTCGGATGGATGTGTGTGTTGCGGGGATAGACAATCACACTGGGCCCGAGTTTGCATTTGCGTTAATTAAATAAAATTAACCTTGGGTCAGGAGGCTGTGCTAGCAGCTAGTTAACAAAAAATAATTCCAGAGCCTCAGAGTGCATCTGGGAGAGACAGACCCAGACCCAGAAGGCAGTAGGGTGGGATTTGGAGTGGCGCACGCTTTTCTGGTTTGGCGAAGAGGAAGCATGGGTCTTCTATAGATGCCAGCAAGGAGAGAGGACTAGCTGGTTGTTACTCAGCCTCTCTGGGCTCTCAGATTTCCACCCAGCCTTTGACTCTCTAGTCTTCTTCCTAATGAGAACAGTAGAGAGCTGGTTAAAGCTGCCTTTAGTGGCTGCAACAGGGCTGGTGTCTATAGGAGCAGAATTCTTGCCGGGCTACAGTCTGAGAGAACTGAAACTCATAAAGAAACAAACAAAACAATACAGCTCCTTTAAGAGGACTACTGTGAGGCAGAGCCCTTGAGCAGCCAGCACACTAAGCTAAGTAAAACCGCCCGCCAGTGCCGACACAGACTTCCTGGAGCTGGGGCCGTGAAATGCAGCTACCTACCGAACAGGCTCAGTGGTTAGGGATTGGCTACCGAACAGGCGCAGTGATTAGGGATCGGCCCTCACAGACCTGAGTAGGGAGCAGAGCCCAATGCAAAGGGCCTAGCCGTAGCTTAGGTTTGGTTCATGGGGTCAGAGAATGCCACAGGTGCTCAATAGAACAGAGTCAGCCTGAAAAACCCCTTTAAACAGGTTACAGTGTGGATGGGCGCTTATGAAAGACAAGAAAATGCCAACTGCATGTGTGTCCTAAAATAGGTACATAGTTATATGTCACATATGGTGATGGGACTTGGACCCAGTCTGATGCTGGCATAAGAATTACACCTAAGCACCAAGGGTGGTCTTACTGTCCCCCCATGGAAGACTCCAGAGCAAACTTTGAATGCTGGTGGCAGTCATTGATGTGACTAGCTCCGGAACACAACAGTAAGATGTCAGGAAACACCTGTAGGCACACCCTTGTCTCTGCTCGTCCTAGGTGGCAGAGAGCAGACGCAAGAGGAAGAAGACGAGAGCCTAAACGTTTGGTGCAGAGACAGGGTTTTTATGTTACTGCTTCTGACCCAATGTTGGCTGTGCGCTCAGATGCAGAACCTGTGCGTTGGTAGTGAGACCCCATTCTAGAAACTACTGGATCACCTGGGTTTGTGGATGAAGTATATACAGTGCCAGTCACTCTGTAAAGCCCATCCTAAAGCCTGCCAACAGCACCCAGCGGCGGGAGCCACCTCCTCCCCTCCCATCCAAGTTCTAATGAGTCTTCTCACCTTAGCCTCCTGAGAGCTGGAATTGCAGGCCTGCCCACAATCCCTGTTTTGTGCATTTTCCTTTTCATTTTAATTGTGTATGTGCGTGTATGAGTATGTAATATGAAAGTACATGCACACGTATCTATACATGCTTCTGTGTCCATGTGTGGAGGCCAGAGGAGGACATAGGTGTCCCCTCCACCACCCTTCACCGTGTTCCTTTGAGAGAGTGCCTCTCACTGAAGCCGGGGTTTGATGTTTTTTAGATAGACTGGCAGGCAGCGAACCCAGAGCTCCTCCTGTCTGCACCCCCACCATTACAGGTGAGCACAGTCCTACCTGGCTTTGTGCGTGGGTGCTAGGGAGCCAAGCTCAGGTCCCTATGTTTGAGTGGCCAGTATACCTGCCCGCTGAACAGCTCCCTGGGTTGGTTTGAGTTTTTTTTTTCTTTTAAATTTATATTGAGAGGTTCTCCAGTGCCATAAAATCCCTTGAGCACCGAGCAGCTTGAAACAGCTACTGCCGCTAATGTTAGTTAGCTTTTCCTTTGCTGAGCGTTTATGTCCTGGCTGCGTCGCTCCGGAACTGCAGGACAACACTGAATCTCTGTTCTCTCTGTAGGTCATGTTTAGCATGCTGGAAATTTACAATGAACAGGTAACATCCTCTACATGCTCTCTGTCTGTCTGTCTGTCGCTCTCTCTCTGTCTCTCTGTCTGTTTGCATGAACAGATCCTTGCACACCCTAAGCACCAGCTTTATCACTAAGCCGTGCCCATCCTGAGAGTCTGTGCTAACGCACACACCTGAGTGAGTCCATGGATTATTAGCAATGAGGACTCGGATCACCCGTCATCCTGTGTTGAATGTGGCCCACAGGCCTCTCCAGCACCATCTCAGATTCCTTGTTCTTCACTGTCGGGAACCTCAGAGTCAGCTCAAAACCAAGACCAAGTTCTCAGCAAGAGGAGGGACAAAGGGCAGCAAATAAGAGACAAAGACATGAGCCAGAGGACAGGAGAGAAGAGGAGGGAAAGGGGAAGAGGGACAAGGGACTGCCTCTGGGTAGAGAGGACAGATGTGGCCCATAGGAAAACAACAGCTTATAAAGGTAGAAGGGAAAACCCTGCCTTAGGATGAGGTTGTAATTTTGATTGTGCATTTAATTAAGGTAACCAAAGGGAACTTTTGATTGCAGGACTTTAAGAGTTTGATAACTGGACCTTGGTAGTCAGCCACAGGAGGAGGGAGTGGTCAAATAAGGGAATAGACCGTGGTGGCTAGCTTTAGGAAAGTAATCTAATGGTTTGTAGCAAGGCAGGAGGGCAAGGCCTGCCAGAGCCCTGCTCACCAGGGTCGGGCTGACCAGAGTCCCTTCATTCACTCTCTATGCCACACACAGCCACTGTCTTAGTTATGTTCCCATTGCTGTGATAAAACGCCACAATAAGGCAATTTATACAAGGAAAGGCTTATTTGGGGCTGACAGTTCCAGGGGTGTACAAGTGCATTGTCACTAAAGTGGGGAGCATGGCACTAGGCAGGCAGGCAGGGAAGCTGAGAGTTCAGATATGAACCCACCAAAGGGAAGCTGAGAGCACATTAGGGAGAGTAGGAGGACTCTGAATTCTCAAAATCGGGTCCAGTGACACACACCCCCACCTCCTAGTCCTTCCCAAACAGTCCCACCCACTGGGGACCAACTATTCAAATGTAGGAGCCTATGGAGGCCATTTTTATTCAAACCATGACAACAAATCCCCTCCTTTCCAGACGTGCCTTTCTCTTAGACTCTGTCCTTTCTCTGCTGCTGACCTCCAGGCCATTGCTATGCGCACCCTGAAATTGTTATGGTCAGTGGGTGAGATGCTATTGGGGACCAAAGGGAACTCTTTTATGCTTTGATTGTTTTGGTTTTGGTTTCATTTTCTTTTGGTTTTTTGAGACAAGGTTTCTTTGTAACTTTGGAGCCTGTCCTGGAACTTGCTCTGAAGACCAGGCTGATCTTGAACTCACAGAGATCTGCCTGTCTCTGCCTCCCGAGTGCTGGGATTAAAGGCATGCACTGCCACTGCCCAGCCTTTCTTGTCTTTCTTTTACATTTCCCAGTTTCTTACTTAGCTCAATTATAATCACTGAGCACCTATGGAAACTCAGTATTAATTCAACTACCTAATACATATTAACTGAGCACCAATTATTTTGCAAGCAGTGATAAGGAAGGAAAAGAAATTCTCACATTCTTAAACTGGATGACATTTCTTCTTCTCTCTCCTCCTACAGATAAGAGATTTGCTGTCCAGAACCAAGACTCCAGGAGGGTTAAAAGTCAGGGAAGATCAACAGCTGGGGTTTTTTGTGGAAGGGCTAAAGTGGGTGCCTTGTGAGAATTATGCACAGATTGAAAAGCTGATGGAGCAGGCCTCAAAAACCAGGATGACAGCTTCGACCAACATGAATGCCAGCAGCAGCCGGTCCCACATGGTCATTACCATCCAGTTTAAGCAGGTGGGAGTCCTCATCTGTGGGACAGGCTCCCGGAGGCAGGGTGCCGCGGACTGACTCTCTTGGAGATTGATGACAGAGGGAGAACAGGGGTGAAGGCTAAGGAGAACTCGGGATTCGATGAATGACAGACAGACACAACTCTAATGAGGTTTGAATCTGCTGTAATTTTACTAAAATTCAAGTATCACTTTTATGAGATTACAGAAGGAAGTTGGCAGACACAAAAGCTTACATAGAAAAAATGATTACAGGCAGTTGATTATTCTCAGCCAGTCTTGTGGTCAGGGCCAGGTGGGCAGAGCTTTTCTTTGAAATTCGTCTCACGCCACTAGCCAACTGCGCTTTCTCATGGCTCTAAATCATATCTGCCCTTAAGGTAACCCAAATACCATTCTTCAGGATTCTGCCCCTAGGGTTTGCTCCAATATTGAATGGCTGACTTCATGTTGTCAAGAATAGCCTGCCTTTCTTTCCTATCTAAAATGCACCAGGGGTTTCTCATTCTGGCTAGCCTCTCCATAAATGTTAACTCACGCCGCTCCATACGTTCTCCTTCATAATTTACCCATCTTCTACCATCATGAGCTCTTTTTGTTTTAGGGTATCCATAAATTCCCCCAGAGAGCGAGCCGGAGTCTTAATCATAACATTAATGGCCTGAATCAAGGGAGGGGACTAGCGCATCAGTTCCTCCGTATTCAAGGAGCCTTTGGGAATATTTCCTGGTTCCTTGAACAGATTAGGTTTTTGTCAAGAGAAAAGTAGAACAGAAGAAGAAAATATCAGAGCCAATGCAAGAAACCATCGCCAGGAACAAAGTGAACGAGGTTGTTGAGGCTGATCAGCCACCACAACTTGAGCAGGCTGCCAGGGAACCGCCGGGGGCCATGCTCCTGGAAGCACGAGCCCCTCATTTCGAGATGGCCACCACCTGAGAGGCATTTTGTCACACAGGCTAGATAGGCGTGGATGTGGCAGCAGGGTAGGGGTCTAGAGTGGACCAGTGGGCTGAGGTAACTGCTTCCAACCATAAATCACAGGGCTTGGATAGGAAGAGCTGAGGGCCTTGCTCTCCTGCCCACCCTCCATTCCGTAGGCTCATTACTTACAGCAGAGTGGCCTTACGATCGTCAACCAATCGAGTGCCCACAGGACATGGCTGGCTATTTTTCCTCAAGCAATTTTACACTCTGAGGATTGAATTTTGAGGCCAAGTTGGTAAAGGGGTCATTGTGAAGACATTAACTGTGATCCATCATGGAGAATTAAGATTAGCAGGCCCATGCTTACCCGTCTGAGGATCAGCCATGAGCCAACGGCACAGCAAGGTGCTGAAGCACCTTTCTGAGACAAAGATCAACCAAGATTAGTTCTTGGAAATTCTTGGAAACTTCCACTAACTAAAGCCTTTGATCAACCAGAGAGGATCTCTCGTCTCCATTCTCCTCAGTGGGTGCCAGGACGTCTCTGAGCAACACCCCTAGTTTGTTCTAGAAATAGTTGCTCCTGAGTCCTGGGTGAATGCCACAGCCAGCTGTGATTACATGACCCTTGTCCTCTCAGAACTGAACCGGCAATAAAGGAAACCATCACGTTCACACCAGGAACAGTGGACACATAAGTGACTGTTAGGTGCCAGTGCTAAGCTTTTGAGGGGATCACCTTCAAATTCCCAGTTTCATCTTCTGTAAAATGGGGCGATGGCTGTTTTCAGGCATGTTGAGAGGCTGAGATGGGAATTTTCTAGAGATGGGAAGGTGGCTTATCAGTAAAGCACTTGCTGTGGAAGCATGAGGACCAGAGTTCAAATCCCCTGTACCCCTGTGTAAGAGCCAGGCATGGCAGCATGCTTCTATAATCGCAATGCTGAGGAAACAGTTGGGGGATTGCAGGGACTTGCTGGCCAGCAGTCTGGCCAAATCAGTGAGCTCCAGGACAGTGGGAAACTATGCCTCAAAATTCAAGTGTAGAACAGTTGAAGAAGACATGTGATAGCAACCTCCGTCCACTGCATGACTACTCATACATGTGCACCTATGCATACACACACGCACACACACACATGCACATAGACATACCCGCACAGACATATAGAATTGTAGTCGAACTTTCTTTTGGGACTTCCAGCTCCCCAATAATGACATGGAGACTTATTTTTAATTATGAAAACTTAGCCTTTAGCTTAGGCTTGTTCTCAACTAGCTCCTAACCTAAATTAACCTGTTTCTATTAATATGCATTCTGCTACATGACTTTTTACCTCTCCTTCATTCTGCATATCTGACTCCATGTCTCATTGGCATGTCTCCTGTGCCTAGATTCTAAGACCTCTGAGTTCCTCTCTCTGTCTGGAAGTCCCGCCTAACCTCTCCTGCCTAGCTATTTTATTAAACCAATCACAGAGATACATCTTCACACAGTGTAAACAAATATCCCACAACAGAGTTTTTTTGTACATTTTAAGTGCTGTTCACGGGACAAATTTTGCTGTGTTAGTAAAATTCATGTACTGTATATGTGGTTCACCCTGTTATTTGAACTCCTTATTTAGGAGCAAGAGGACAAATTGGGTGAAGGTAAATAAATGGAAACTTTTTTCTTAAGAAAGTTAAAATGTTTTTTAAAAAAAGCCCATATATCCAGCAAGAAACCCCGTAGAATCCCAAAGTGTGCGTTCATTGCAGGACCAGAGCCGAACAGTTCAGGATGCTCATGATGATGACGGCTTTACAGCATTTTATGTGCTAGAAGTTTACTGAAATGTCTGTCATGACCACTACCTCATATGTCCCTCAAAAGAGCTTCGCAGAACTGGAGAGAGGCAAGCAGGACACTTGGACCCAGGAACACGGCACTTCACTGTCTGGTGACATTTTCTTTGTAATCTAACAAATAAGGCTTGCCTCAAGATCAGAGAAGCAGAGCAGCCAGCCACTAGAGTTCTTACCTCTCCAAAGGCTCAGACCGAATAGGCAGGATCCTGTCTCTACGAATCCTCAGATTGAACGCTATGAGCTCCTGTCTCTTCCCACTTTATATTCCTCTCTCTGCCCAGCCATATCACTTCTGTCTCCACCTTCCTAGAGCTGGGATTAAAGGCACGTGACTCCCAAGTACTGGGATTAAAGGTGTGAGCCGTGATACCACCACCTGACTCTATTTCTCTTTTAGACTGGATTAATTTCATGTAGCCCAGGATGGCCTTGAACTCACAGAGATCTATCTGCCTCTGCCTCAGTAGTGCTGGGATTAAAAGTTGTGCACCACCACTGCCTGGCCTCTGTGGCTAACTAGTGGTTTAACTCTGCATGCTGACCTTCAGGCAGGAATTACTTGTTAAAGCACAAACAAAATATTGTTTTCCCAGACTTCTTGCCCCCCAAAGAGATCACCAGGGATCTGGGACTTGGATGCAAAAGCAAGGTTTATTCCAAAGCACAATACGAGCCTAGGCATGGAACTCGTTCAGCATACTCAACGCAGTGAGGGCAGGAGGAGCTCCCTTCCAGAGATTGCAGGAGTTTTTATAGACAATTTTGCAGGACCATCAGTTCTCACCTAATTTGCATACTCAAACCTAATTGAGGACAGCAAATGGTTACAAAAGGACATGATTTAATAAGCATGATATCATTATGCAAATGAAGTATGGACATAAGTATGTTCTCAGTTGGCCTGTTCCTATCTGTCTTTGGGGTATGTAGATGAAGCATACTATGGATATATTTTTGATTGGCCAGTTCTTGGCTATCCTTGAAGCAATATTCTCCCAGTTGTTACTGGCTCCTGACAGATGGCCCTTATGTCACATATGAAGTGTTTTTCAAAATATAATTTTAGCCTAGCCTAAGCAGTGTGGTTCAGACGAAGAGCAATTAGGTTACTCTGACACTTCGACCGGTTTTTCATTTCTCTCAATATCACCACAACTGTCACTGCACACGGACGGCACCTTCAGTGACAGCTGCCTCTACTGTATTATATTTGGGGTCTGTGATATACCTCGAAGAGCCACACAAGATCACGGGACAGTGTGTCTCTGAGGCATCAGTCTAACAGCCCAACCTGTGTCTCTATAGGTTTTCCTGGACACGGCTCTCACCAAACAATCCAGCATCAACATGGTTGACTTGGCAGGAAGCGAGAGACAGAAATCATCAGGAGCTGAAGGAGACCGGCTGAGAGAAGGATCCAGGGTCAATTTAAGCCTAACCAGTTTAGGGAATGTCATTAGGTATGTGGCCAGCACCCAGATATTCTTGTGTCTTAGTTACATTTCTATTGCTCTGAAGAGACACCATGGCCAAGGCAACTTATGGGAAAAAAAATCACATATTGGGAGCTTACAGTTATAGAAGGAACATGGTAGCAGGCAGGCATTGCATGGCATGGGAGCAGTAGCCGAGAGCTCACATCTTGACCCAGAAGTAGAAGGCAGAAAGAGCTAAGTGAAATGGTGTGGGATTTTGAAACCTCGAAACCCACCCCAGTGACATACCTCCTCCATCAAGGCTATACCTCCTCATCCTTCCAAACCGTTCCACCAACTGAGGACCAAGCATTCAAACATATGAGCCTGTTGGGGCCGTTCTCGTCCGGACCACCACATCATGGAATGATACAATGACATATAACAGAGCAGAGGGTGGTGCTCCAGTTCCCTAGTGAGCCAAGACTTGGACCCCATCCCTAGCTCCAAACCTACCAAGGCAAATTAAGATTAGATTAATAATAGCCTTTAGTTCATGATCCAGTGGCATCATTGATTCATGCCCAGCCCTCCTGTATATTTAAAACAAATTAATGCTTCACAGAATAACACTAGCAAAATAAATATTTCCTCCATCAACCAAAGTAGTTGGTGCAGAATTTTGTCCTGTGCTCTCCTCTTGGAGGCTTCTACAATGTGGGCTGAGGTCCTATCCCTCCCCCACTATTGTTCTTCCTTATTTTCCTTTCTTTTTCTTTTTTCTTTTTGCCAGAGAGGTGTTTGTATGTGTGTGGGCACACATGTGGGTGGGTGCATGTACACATATGTGCAGAGACAAGAGAGGTATCCTTCATGTGGAATGCCTCCCTCAGCTCTCTTTGCTGTGCTTACTGAGGTGAGGTTTCTGGACGAAGATGAAGCCCGAGAGTTCTGCTGTGGGACAATGGTTTTACCCTGTAAAGATTTGTTTCTTGTACTTGTTTAACAAAATGCTGATTGGCCAGTAGCCAGGCAGGAAGTAGAGGTGGGGCAACCAGACAGGAAGTAGAGGTAGGGCAATGAGAACAAGAAAATTCTGGGAGGAGGAAAGAGTCAGTCTGTAGGACCAGGCAGGACAGAAACATCGGTCAACAGAGTTCAGCTAGTTTAGCTAGCCAGATTGCCCTGGGACTCCCCCAGGGAGAGTTCTGGTCTCCACCTCTCAAGCTGCCGCACCTGCCTGGCTGGAATCAGAATGCTAGTCTTCATGCCCCATCCAATGAGCCCCCTCCAAACTTTTCTATTATGTGAATATGAGTGCATATATGCAGTAATTTTTAACTTCACACCCTCTCCCCACTGAGGCACGCCCCTCCCTGTTGACACACCAAGAAAACAATTGGACCTTTGCCATATGATTTACCTTTGCCTAATTGTCTTGAGTTTTGTAATTAAATTTTTTAAAATTATGTGTATGTCTATATGCATGTGTGTGGGTATGCACCTGTGAGTGCAGGTACCCATGGCAGCCAGAAGAGGGAGCCAGATCCCCTGGAGCTGGAGTTCCAGGTGACTGTGAACTACCTGTTGTGGGTATGGGATCAAACTGGAGTTTTCTGCAAGAGCAAGCCATGCTCTTAAGCTCAGTGTTGTCTTTCTCTCCAGGCCCTGTCTTTTGAGGGTCCTGTCTTGCCTGGGCATCCTCGTACAGGTGTCTGCTACTCTGTGCTATTATTGCCACAGGGTGGATTAGTCAACTTCTCTCTGACCTGAAGCCACTTCAGGGAGGAAGGATTTATCCTGGCACATGGTTTGAGTGAGGAAAAACATGATGGCTCCCTGGAGGCAGAAATAAAGAGTGGCTTACCCACAGGTGTGATCATCAAACCACACACAACACAGAGCCCCTGCAGGGATGTGTGAGCCATCTCTAGTTACCCATGGAGACTCAGTTTCTTCCTCGTCTCTTCCATTGATTATTTAATGTTTTCTCCTTCTCGTAGTGCCCTGGCTGACTCAGCCATGGGGAAGAAAGTCCTGCACATTCCCTACAGAGATTCTGTTCTGACCAAACTGCTCCAGTCGGCTCTGGGCGGGAACAGCCGGACAACACTGGTAAGATCTCTTAGAACTCGTGACACTGGTTCAGCTCTTAGTGCTCTTTGGCTAAAATCACTCTCAACACACCCAGGCCTCAGTGCTCAGCCCTGATGCCTGCCCACTGCTGTGTGTGGCAAGGCTTCCACCACATTGAATAACTTTTGGAGCTGCTACCGGAAAGTATACTACTTTCCGTTTTGACTCTGTTTAGTGATGGGGCATGGAAACCAGCACCTAACACATACCAGGCAAGTGCTCTGCCACCGAGCCACGCCTCCAGCCTGGTGTTAGGAATATTCTTAAGATGAGCCTCTCCACCGATGCAAATAATTCAAATCAGACTAAATTAGACCGAATAAAAGATGCCCACATTTACTGCAGCACTCCCGGGTGGCCAGGAGAGCATGAGGGGTGGGGAGGACCACACAAAACCCAAAGACCACGTGTTTCTTCACTGGGAAGCAACCTAAAATGCCTGTGGGAATGGTCCGCAGCTTGGTGAACTCTTTTGGGGGTAGAGTCTGGATCAAGGCAACTCCCAGCAGGAGGGAGCTTCCAAAGATGGATGCCAGGTATTATGTAACAGGGAGCTGAGGCGATGCTTATGACCAACATTTTAGGCTCTCTTTGGATAAAGGGGCGTCGGCTCAAGTCTGGCTACTTCCTGCAGGCATGGGGTGATGTGGGGGAGGGGAGAGCTGGGAGTTAGTGGGCTCCTGCTCAGCAAGAGGTGTGGCTGCAGTAGCATTTGGTTTACTGTTATCCTGGAGTCCTCAGGCAGCTGCTTTTTGAGGGAGATGAGAAGGCAGGAGGCTAGGAGAAAAAAATATTGTTATTATTGGCCCTATGAATGGGGCTAGACATGGGAAGTCATGTTAATGCCGGAAAGAATGGGACAGAGAAGTGCCCCGGTTGTACAGCTGAGGCTTCGGTGTATACAACCAGATTTTAGTTGGCAGGTGTCCTTGATTCAGGAGAGTTGGTGCCAATGGTGAAATCCCAGGAGCTGATGCAGGTGTTGGTGTAGTCTGGAGAGCACTTTGTCTTGGCCCAGACAGCCAGAGTGACCTGTGGGAAATCATCCCAGGTCTGCATCTCCACCCACCCGGTATGGACCGCGGCTCCACACCTTTCACGGGCTGGGCAAGGGCCTAGGGGTTAAACACAAGACACACACACATAGAGAGTCCAGGTCATTCGCCAAGAGGTGAATGCCAAGTTTATTCAGTTTTCACCAGGTTGAATACTCTTTTTCCCCAGAAGAGCAAACCCCCTCCCAGCCAGGTGTGAGATCACAGTGTTGAGCGCCTGGCGCCGAGTGGCAGGTAGTACCTGCCTGGGAGCTGTGACAGACAGTTTAAGAGAAGATTTAGGCACTGTGGGAAACCTCCTTTGCAGGTGAAATTACCATGCCAAAGACTAAACAAGGCTCTGTGCTAATCCCCCACACTGACAGAATCGAGCAGAAGTTAACAGGAAGCTAAGCTGGTTTCGAGTAAACAGTTCTTGCATCCTGTGCTTTGGCCTCCCGGAGCAGGGGAAAAACCTGCGATACAACAGTGACCTGTAAAATATGCTTGAAACTTGTAACAAGGAGGGCCAGCTTGTTGGGGTATCTGTCCCACCCAGTACCCCACAACCAGCAAGCCCCAAAAAAATCACACACAGGACTCCATAAGATTATAAAACTGATTGGCCCATTAGCTTAGGCTTCTTGTTAATTCTTGTAGTTTATATTAACCCATTATTCTGATCTATATTAGCCATATGGCTTGGTACCTTTTTCAGCTGTCAGCTCACATGTTGCTTCTTCGGTGATCTGGGCAGAAATGGAAGAATGGGCTTCCTCCTTCTTAGCCTTCTCTTGTTCTCATTGCCCCACCTCTACTTCCTGTCTGGTTGACCCACCTATATTCCTGCCTGGCCAATCAGCGTTTTATTAAAATACATGATTGACAGAATAAGATAATTCTCCTGCACCAGAAACTGGGAGAGATTAAAACATGCTCTATGGACTGTTAGGGGTTTTTTGTTTGTTTGTTTTGTTTTTTAACCAGACCTGATTTTTGATACAGCAGCAAAATTTTTAGGTATCTGTAAGAAAACTGAAACAGATTTACATCTTGGTGTCATAACAAAAGGCTAAAAGACAATTAAAGGGAATTGGGAACTCTGGATTTTTAAGATACAACTAAAACCTGTTAATTTTAAACTATGAAGCCTGTGAAAGAGGCAATCCCTGTTTGTGTTTTTAACAGGAAACTTAACAAATAAAGTAATGAGCTACCAGTACCTTAAGTCATCAAATGCTATTAGACAGATCTGGGAGGGATAAATGAGCAAAAATGAGACAGCTTTTTAGCTACACAGGCAATCCCAAATTTTTCCTTAGTCCTTGGAGAACACCAGCCTAGAAGCAGTGCTTGCCGTTAGTTGCTGAGTACAAGAGACCCAAAGATTTTCCTGTGGTGGGGAGCAAGATTTAGTCTACCTGTCTTGGCAGGATGAGATCATTTCCCCAGGTGGCATCCAGAAAGCTGAAGAAGTGAAAGGCCACTTTTTGATGTGTAGGTGTCTTTGCTAAACCCAAGCCTCAAGGCAGAAGGTCTTCTGTAACCATGTTCTTCTTGGAGGAGCTTCTTCAAGCAGAAGCTGGCTTGTCTCTGTGTTAGATGCTCTTTTGTTAAATTCCATACCCTCAGATCTGTAAAGGCACCTGAGAGTCAGGGTACCATTACCTGTTATTTTTTTCTTTTTTCCCCTTTTTTTTAAAATTGATATTTATTGAGCTCTATATTTTTCTCTGTTCCCCTCACTGCCTCTCCTCTGCCCTTCAATCCTCCCCCAAAGTCCCCATGCTCCCAATTTACTCAGGAGAGTTTGTCTTTTTCTACTTTCTACTTCCCAAGTAGATTAGATCTATGTAAGTCTCTCTTAGTGTCCTCACTGTTGTCTAAATTCTCTGGGATTGTGGTTTGTAGGCTGACTTACTTTGCTTTATGTTTAAAAACCAACTATGAGTGAGTACATGTGATAATTGTCTTTCTGTATCTGGGTTACCTCACTCAAAATAATGTTTTCTAGCTCCGTCCATTTTCCTGCAAAATTCAAGCTGTCATTATTTTTTTCTGCTGTGTAGTACTCCATTGTGTAAACGTACCACATTTTCCTTATCCAGTCTTCAGTCGAGGGGTATTTAGGTTGTTTCCAGGTTCTGGCTATGACAAACAAAGCTGCTATGAATATAGTTGAGCACATGTCCTTGTGGCATGATTCTGTATCACATATACCCTATGGTGTACACACAGATGCACACACACAATTAAATGTAAAATTAAATTTGTTTTTGAAAATGTAAAGTTCAGAGGTGTGGAGAGTTGACTCAGGGGTTAAGAGCAGTTGCTGCTCTTGCAGAGGACCAAGCTTTGATTCCCAGCACCCACATGGTAGCTCACAACCACCTACCTGTAACTCCAGTCCCAGAGAATGTGATACTTTCTTCTGACCTCCACTGGGCCCAGACATACACATGGTACACATGCACACACACACACATACACACACACACACACACACACACACACACACACACACACACACATATACACACACACATACACACAGAGGTAAAACATTCATAGACATAAAAGAATTAAATACATCCAAAAAGTAAATAATTTAAACTTCAAATAATGCTGAAAATTAAATGATATAAACTGCTTTGTGAACACTAGTTTTTTTTTAATTAACATGTGCATGCATGAAGTGCATGTATGTACAGGCAGGACTGCAAACATCCTGTGTGTGCGTGTGTGAAGGCCAGACAACAACCTTGAGTATCATCCTCAGAAATGTCACCCACTTCCTTTAAGACAGGGTCTCTCACTGGCCTAAAGCTCACAAATTAGACTAGACCACTGGCCAGTAATCTCCATGGATCCTCCTGCCTCTGCCTCCCAGGGCTAGGATTACAAGTGGGTACCAGCATGCATGCCATTTTTATGTGGGTTTTGGCATCAAACTCAGTTCTTCTTGCTTGTAAAGCAAGTACTTGACTGGCAGCGTCCTTCCCTCAACTTGAATATTAGCTGTTTTAATAGCATCAATGTTAAAAAAAAAAAAAAGAAGAAGACAAAACCCAAAGTCCTGGATGACTAACGTCTACACGGATGGTTCCAGATTGCAGCCATAAGCCCAGCTGATATCTGCTATGAGGAAACCTTGTCGACACTGAGATACGCCGAGAGGTGAGTGCTCTGTGAGCAGCAACCCGTCATGGGGTTCCGTGTTCTGTGTCACAGCTCCTTTGGCACTCTATTTGATGGCTTGGTGTTTGCGGTGGGAGTCCAGGAGGAGAATCAAGTGACCGGTGAGACAGGAATAAATGAGAGCAGGGGGGCCTGGAGAAGCGGGTCCACAGCAAGCCACTTACTGTGCCTGCGGCTCTCTCAGGGACACTCAAAAACTAAAACTATCCTTTGGGCCTTTGTGTGGTGGCGCGCCTTTAATCCCAGCTCGTGGGAGTCAGATGCACGTGGATCTCTGTGAGTTCAAGAGCTCCATCCAGGTGAGATCCTGCCTCAAAAAAACAAAACAAAACAACAATAAAACCCGACAGTTCAGATTATGCCTCCAGTGAACTGCCTCTCCCGATCTGCCCTTCAGATACTTCTCAGCCAGGGAGTCCTTTCCTGGGAGTGAAAACCACACACACACACACACACACACACACACACACACACATTCTTCACAGCTTAGACGCAGTACTGTTGCATGCCATGCCATTTTCTCCCAGCGTCTGAGTGCAAGCTCAGATCCGTAGGTGGAGCTTCGGCTTTGGCAGCATCTGGAATGTTCCCTTTCTCCTGCCTACTGCTGTGATCTTGCTGTCAGTAGATTTCAGGAGGAGGTATACACAGAGAGACACTGTGTTCTCTAAACTCCATTCCTGACTTTGAGCTTGGAACAAGCCTCACTGGAATCTTTAAATTTCTTTTATGAAATAAAAGGATAAAGTATAAAACATGTGTCGGGGTAGAGCCCTGTGGTAAAGCCCTGATGTTTAATCCCCAACATCAAGATAATAATGGCATTGCATACCCTGTTAAATTTGATTTCTCACAGAGAATAAGTCATGTTATGTATGGTATGTCTGAGCTTTCTGTGGTGACCCTGGGAGTAGGGACAGGAACAGAAAGCCCTGAGTTGACTGGAGCCTGTTGTAGAATATTACTTTAGGATATATTTTACATTTGTTTATGCTGTGGAACATTTGTTTAATGGTGCAAACATGGGTTGCGTTCTTTTACATTGCATTTGTTTAACTCAGCAAAGCTGTATTACTTTGCCTATCCAAAACACCTGATTGGGCTAATAAAGAGCTGAACAACCAATAGCAAGGCAAGAGAAAGGACAGGCGGGGCTGGCAGGCAGAGAGAATAAATAAGAGGAGACATCTAGGAAGAGAAGAACCAGGAACAAGAAAAGGAGAGGAGGTCGTCAGGGGCCAACCACCCAGTTACACAGTCAGCCACAGAGTGAGAAGTAAAAAAAAGGAAAACAGAAATAGAGAACGGTAAAATCCCAGAGGTAAAAGATAAGCGGGGTAATTTAAGAAAAGTCGGCAAGAAACAAAATAAGCTAAGGCTGGGTCTTTATAATTAAGAATAGGCCTCTGTGTGTCTTTTGGGGAGCTGGGTGATGGGCTCCCAAAGAGTTAAAAAAAAAAAAAGAAAAACTAGCCTGTGGTTTCCAGGCTTTTGATTGTTGTTGAATCAAATTCTTGAATTAGTCAAGTGTGTTCAGAACCCAAGATACACAGAATTCTAGCATGGGACTCAGCTGTGCTTGGTGAGTTTGGTGAGTTTTTGCGAATTGTGTAGGTTACTGAGGTCAGTTTTGGTCTCAGTGAGAGTGTTTGTCATTGCATGTGACAGGGCTAAAAAGGTTCAGAATAGAGCTACGATCAACACGTGTACACTGGTGAGAGCATCCAGGGCTGAGAACAAGCAGCTGCTCAGATTCGGGGGCACCGGAGCAGAAGGTAAATTAAGTCGGGAGGCTAAGCTCAGCCACGTCTGACACCCAGACGTTGGCTGGAAGGTCTGAGTGGTGGCCTACGCAGCAGCTGGGCTGGGGAAGGAGGGTTGGCCAGTGAATGCAGGTGGGAGGGAAGGCCCACGGTTTGTTAAGGAGCTTCTGGCTCAACCTTGAAACATTCCAGCTTTGACGTCAGTGTGGTCTCATTTGCTACTGGCGTGAAACAACGGCCTTGGCCTTGTGCTTTCCCACACGGCTCAGGCACAGGGCAGGCACGCCCACGAGGACAGACGCCCAGGCTTCGTATGTTGACCTGCTGACCTCAGGCATCCACGGCAACAAGACGCTGCCTGAGTTAGAGCAGACACAAATGGTGGTCCACGCCGGGCTCTACTGGCCACAGAGTTCTGCATGTGCTGGGTGTTGATACACACGCAGCATCTAATTCTCACTGTTTATAAACCCAGGCATGAAACATGAAAAAAACAAAACAAAACCAGCGCAAGACAAATCTGTTATTCTTTCTGACCTCTGGGCAGATGAGATTTCCCTGAGCAGGTAGTCACATGCCTGCATACGTGAAAAGGAGAAAAGGGGACCTCTGAGCTCCAGGCTTCCCAATGAATTGTCCTTCGTGTTCTAATGCCTGAGTTACCCCAGGGTACCACCTGCCGCAGAACTGAGCGGATGAGTCTTCACACAGGAACGGCTCGGTTCCCAGCTCCTCCGCAGTCACTCTACATCTCCCTTTTGATGCCCCATCTTAAAGTCCCTCCCTCCCCCTAGAGCACCCAGCTTGTTTCCTGGCAGAATGGCAGCTGGGTACTCGAACCTGGGCCCACCTGCTGGAGCAGGCGCGGAAGGAATGGGAGGAGCAGTACGCGGCGCTCTCGCAGGTGAGAATCCTGTCAAGGATTCTGAAGGTCTAGGCAAAACTCGGGTGCCAGCGGAAGTTCTGTTAAATAGCATCCTGTGGCGGGGTGACCCTGGGTGACTCTGGGCTTGAGTAGGATTCGGGGTACAGGTCTACAGAACTTTACTTCAGTGAACAGTAACCACCAGGGCTTTCATGTTCTCTACTCTTAATCAGAGGAACTTCAGGGTCTTAACATCACCCTAAGCCGCAGCGTTTGTGCTAGGTCTGCTTGTCCACCCTCTGTGAGCACAACGGGGCCCTACCGTGCATGGGAGAGGAAGACTTAAATGCGCTTGGGCATCACTGAGGGAGATTGCAGTGTTCG